TGTTGTAATGGACTGGGGAATAGGAGCTATTGTCAGTTCTTTTCCTCGCCTCCTCTCCAAGCAGTCTTAGTCCCTCCAGTCTTAGTCCCTCCCCTCCCCTTCCTCTAAGAAAGAGACCTGAGGAGAGAGAGGAGTCCAGTCAGCCCCTCACTGTATACCTGATATTTTATTTTCATTGTGATAACATTCTTACAGACACTGAAATATGCCTTCCAAACCCACGATCGACTCTGTTTTGTAATGGAATATGCTAATGGAGGCGAGGTGAGACCCCATATCCTACATCCATAATCAACTCATCAGTCATATGGGATGCACCCAGTTCAAGAGTTAACCATTTACACGTAGACAGATCTTGTGTAACACCAGGTAAGTCCTTGACTCTCTCTGCTCTGTTTTCTTCAGCTCTTCTTCCACCTCTCACGTGAACGAGTCTTCACAGAAGACCGGGCACGTTTCTATGGTGCTGAGATTGTATCAGCACTTGAGTACCTCCATTCACGTGACGTTGTTTACCGTGATTTGAAGGTGAATACGACACACAAATCCATCATTTCATAAATGCCCCGTTACACGTGTATGTATGTACGTATATGTACATATATATACGTGTATGTATGTATGTACGTATATATATGTGTACATATATATATATATGTGTGTATATATATATGTATGTGTATATATATATACACGTGTGTGTATGTATGTACGTATATATATGTGTACATATATATATATATGTGTATATATATATGTATGTGTATATATATATACACGTGTGTGTATGTATGTATGTATGTATGTATATATGTGTGTGTGTATCATTTTCTTTCTGCTTGTTTATATAAGCAAAGTATATTTAGACAAGAATTTACTAGATGAAGCAAAAGTTAAGTGTCTGACATGTTAAAACTGCTCAAATTGGAGATGGTCGAGCAGGAAATGTTGTAAAAGCTAGCTGCTTTGAGATAGGATGAGCCTACTAAACTATGACCCGAAACTAGTCGTCATTTCGTAAACGCTATTAAACTCACTACAGTATCTTCACGTTGCAGTCTTCAAATCAGAAGCAAGGGAAAATTCAGTCTTTTAATTGATTTTTGAGGAACCTTAAAAATTTTTAAACCCAATCAAAGGCCTCTTTCTATTTACTTTGTTTGTTTGTTTTTCTCCTGATGGTTAGTAGTTACATAGGGATTCTTC